TGCCCGGCGTGAGTTTTAAGCCACCGGGTCCGGGATGCGAACCGCGGTCAACTACATGGGAGTCCAGCGACATAGTCATTACGCTAACTGCTGGTTCCCATAACTCACTAATTTTGTATGCTTGAAGTGCAGAATGTCCTATACCTAACAGCCACCCAAAGACCTTTGTTGAATGAATGAAATGGAGAACATTAGATTGCCAAACCTCAATCTATCAGCTTAAAATGATCAAATCCAAAACCTTTGCAAGACAGTCTTATTTGTTCCCCAAATAATACTGCATACATAACTTTATTTTTTAAAGATTTAGTCAATTTTATTTATTATCATTATTCTTCAGTTTATCTAGAGCTGCCAGGTCTAGGACTTGAACTGTGGTTGACTATGCGGGACCATATCATCTGCCAGCCCCTGTATCCATAACTTTAATTTATAGTTAGGAAATGTTACACTTTTAAGAAATAATAAAGAAATACAAGACTTTTTGGTCTTTTTTTTTTTTTTTTTTTTTTGCCATGGGGCCCATCTGCTTGCTAGGAGAAATGGTCAAACATGGGAGATCTGCAACAGGGCACAGGCACACATGCACCTGGCATGATTTTCAAGCTATTGGGTCTGGGACTTGAACCGTAGTCAACCACTTGAGAGTACAGCGCTTTAACCACCATGTCACCTGTTGGCCCTAAGAAATGCAACTCTTAATGTGTATGAGCTGAAAAGAGATAGGGTGCAATGGGGTGGAAGGGATATGAGAAAGAAATTTTACAAATATTTTATTTTGGGAATAACTATGGCAAATACAAAATCTATATTGAACTCTCTCAAATGGCATCTTTTTTAAAATAATTATTTAATTTTATTTATTCATTCCTTTATTTTCATTTCAGAGAGACACACACAGACATGCGTGAGTGTGCGCACACACATGCATACGCACACGCACACAGGCACACACACACACACACAGAGGCAAAGTGAGAAAGCAAGCCAGCAGGTCCAGGAGCCGAACCGTGGTCGGTCATGTGGTAGTGTCTAGCACTTTAACCACCACACCACCTGCTGGTTCCCCTCAAATAGTATCTATTACGAGCATATGAGAAAGGTTCTGTGTGAATAAAAGGGACACAAATATTTATAGGGACTTTATAATGATTTTATATATTCATGCTCTGATTATGAAATTCAAACCCTAAACTACACTAAATCATACTATAAAACTCCAATAATTAAATCAAACGTGTAAGAATGAGACGAAGGACCAGCAGATGACATAATGGTTACATTACTAGATTTCCACGTAATTGATTGTAGTTCAGGTCCTGGACCTAGCGACTTAAACTCATACCAGGTACATGTGCACGCATGCCAAAGATCCTGAGGAGAATGGAGAAGGAATTGCAATATGACCATCCCTCCGGGAGGTGATTTTTCACTTTCTGTCTCTCTTTGTCTTTTCAGCAAGCGCATGCTCCCGATAGCAAAAACCTGTCTTCAAATAGCAAAAAAAGAACAAAAGAATGAGAAGAGACAAATAGATCAATAAAACAGATATTCCCAAAATAAGCCCTTGCCATGTGGAAATTTAGTTATATGATAAAGATGACACTTCAAAACAATACGGGAAATAGTACTAGTTTGAGGCCAGCCTAGTAGCCTAGTGGTTGGTGAAACTGTAATTAGGGTTCCAGCCCCTCCAGCTTGAGGGATACACCCAGCACATGTGCATGTGTACCCAAAGTCTCCACAGGATGGAGAAGTGGAGAAGGTACTGTGTTGTGCTTATGCTCCAAGGGGTGGGCTTTCTCTCCTCTCTCTTTGGTAAGAACACATGCCCTCTGGCAACAAAACCAAACCAAACAAAATCCTAAAAAATAGTAGAACAACCGCCTATCTAAATAGCAGAAGTAGTTAGATTCCTATCACACATCATATATATGTAACAACATTCCAGATAAATTAAAAGGCTAATGGTAAACACTGAAAATATATGAAAACATAGCAATCTTGTGACTAGAAAGGTATTCTTGACTTATAGAATGCAGAAGCTAGGTGTAAAATATTGACAAATTTGAATAATTAAAAAGGAGACAAGCAATATGTTGAGAGAAAATATTTGCAACATACATAACAAGCAATGGATTGGTATTAAAATATACAAAGAACACCTACAAAGCAATAAAAAATAAGCAATTCAGTAAAATGGGCAAAAACAAAATTAACAAGCAATTCAAAAAAGAAAAAGAAATGGCCAAACATGGGATATTTGCAATTTACCTAAAAACAGTAATAGCTAAAACATAATGGTTACATAATGTATCAGACACTTTTCTAAATCCTTTAGATCTCAACTCATTTATCTCAAACAAATTCATGAGGCAGATACTATTATTATACCATTACAAATGAGGAAATTGAAGCAGAGATTAAAGAAGTTGCTCAAGGGGCTAAAATTCCAATATGGGCAGTATAACTCTATAGTCCAGATAGCTCTTAACCACTATGCCATATTATGTCTCTAAGGGTACAGAAATACAGGAAAATACAAATTAAAAAAAGTTATCATATATTGTTCAAATTGGCAAAAATAAAAAAAGATTGACAGCAGCCAGCAGGTGGTGTAGTAGTTAAGGTGCTGGACTTCCACATGGCTGACCACAGTTTGAGTCCCTGACCTGGTGGGTTGAAAAATCACACTAGGCACATGTGTGTGTGTGCCCAAAATCTGAGGAGGAGAACGGAGGAGGAGGGATTGCTAAGTAGCTACTTCGGGGGGCGGGGGGGAGTGATATCTCACTTTCCCTCTTGCTGTCTGTCCCTCTGGCAAGTGCAAGTGCCCTATAGCAAAAATCTTTAAAAAAAAGGACTGACACAGTCAACCTGGAAAATTGCGTACTGGCAACAGTTTGTAGGAGAACATATGACACTTCAGTTTTTTGGTAGTGACAAACTATTCTTACAGAGATGGTCTGAAAGTTCAGAAAAATGAATTCCACAATAAAAGGTAGACAGTAGTCACTAAATCGTTTTTTTTTTTTTTTTTGAGAGATTTTTTTTTTTTTATGACACTTCAGTTTTTTGGTAGTGACAAACTATTCTTACAGAGATGGTCTGAAAGTTCAGAAAAATGAATTCCACAATAAAAGGGAGAAAGTATTCATAAAATCGTTTTTTTTTTTTTTTTTGAGAGATTTTTTTTTTTTTGCTATAGGGCACGTGCGCTCGCCAGACAGACAGAGAGAGACATAGAGACAGAAAAGCGAGAAATCATCCCTCAGGGGGGATGGTCACGCCGCAATCCCTTCTCCTCCATTCTCCTCTTGGGATCTTGGGCACGCACGCACATGCGCCCGGTGTGAGTTTTAAGCCACCGGGTCCGGGACGCGAACCGCAGTCAACTATGTGGGAGTACAACGACATAGCCATTATGCTAACTGCTGGTTCCCTATAGTCACTAAATCTTAAAGTTCCTCCTTTTTCTCTCTTAATCCTCAGAAGACAGTAATGGCTACCACAGAATGAGCACTCCATTGTTCTTTGCTAACTTTTTTATATGGCTGCTTCCCCTGTGCTTCAGGATTTAATCAGCTCAGGTCAAGCTTTCCCTGAAAGCCTGTTTCTTGATGCACTGACATCATCACTGGGTTAGTTAATTCACCTTTCCTTCCATTGGGCTGACACATATTCTGCTATTTCTACTCTTTTCTGTATTTGTCCCATAGCCTCTTTCTTAACAGGTTCAAGAGCCAAGATGACACCTAAAAACTCACATTTGCGTTTTTTGTTCTATTCAAATGATATTAAAAAGACCTTTTGTTTTCAGCAATACATTAATTCCAAATAGACAAAAACATTTCTTCTGAAATCTGTCAAATCTTCAGTCTCTAACTTACTGTTTATATTACAACACACATGTTAAGTAACACTATGCATTGCTCTAGGGAAAATAAAATCCATATCCTAGCTCTTCTAACACTCTGGTCAGTCCTATTTATTTATAGGCTCCATTATGAAGAGAAACATGGAAAGGTGCGGGGAAACTATCAAAGACTGTTACTAAAATGAGCAATCAGTACATAAAAGTACTGAAACTTTATCATGAATGGCAATATGTAAAGGTGTAGAGTCTTCAGTTTTGAAAAAAGCATGGCGTTCAGTTTCCATTTGAAAGATTTCATTTGTACATACCAAACTTCCAAAATTTACTGTCAACTTGGTTTATGATTATGACGAAGTAATTAAAATTTGCAGGAGTAAATTGTGAAAAACATAAGAGGCAACTTAGAGGACAGCGCTTCACTAAACCTAAATGGGAGGAGCCCTAGGTGATGACTACATTTTTACTGAGAGAGGAATTTAAGAATGTACCACGTTGGACGGAGAGGATGTAAGAAGAGATTAAGGTCAGCAGGGGAATGTCAAATTGGAATACACAGGTCGCATTTTTTCTCTGCACTGTAGGATGACAGACTCACTCTCCATTAAAACGCAAAGCTGCAAAGGTGGCACCACACCAGGCCCGAGGCAATGATTTCTATATCCGACTATATCCTACCACGTCGCCAACGCAATCAAGTAATTGCTGGACAGCTCCGCCACTGCTGGTCTTTAGCCACGCCGACACCGGCCGGCAAAGACACCTTTGCTAGGACTCCCAGGGCAAACCCAAGTACCTCGGGGCAGCCCCCACACACGCTTACGGTCCTAGTCCTGCGAACGAAGAGCGAGGGCCGCGGGCAGAAGCAGTGCCCACTCGATGCCTCAGAAGGCCGGGAGAGTTAGGATGAGGTCGACGTTGGACTTCTCTTCCCCACCGCCCTCTACTTCTGCCCTGGAAGAAGCCACAAGTGAGGGAGAGAAGTTGTGGAAACAAGACGGGCGTGGGGTGGGGACCCGAGGGAGTTTAACACGAGCATCTGCAGCTGTCCCACGTAAGGTCACTCGCTCCAAGTCACTCTTCCTTACCCCCCATCCCCATGGGCTTCCCGCCAAACAGGCTCCTAGGCCAGCCCGTCGCGCCCCCGGCCCTTCCCGGGGGTCGCAGCCGGCTCCGGCCTCCGAGTGCCGGCTGGAGCTCTGGCCAGCTGGCCGCCCGACCGCGTTTCCGACGCCGGCGCCTCTCGCAGCCCGGCCCCTGCGCCCCTGCGCCTCCACCCCCCCGGGCTCCGCCAACGTCCTCTCCTCTCTCAGGGCGCCCCCGCCCGTTCCCGGCCCCGGCCCGTCTCCTCAGAGAGCGGCCGCCTCCCCGGTCCTCCCGGCCCCGCCCCGCTCCCGGGCGGATACAGTTTGAAGCCCCTCAGGATCTCCCTGGCCCGCTCGTCCTTGGCTGA